TTTAATGGAAACAGGATATAAACTCATATTTTTTCCCAATCTTTCGGGACTGGGGTTTTCTAAAAGATATTTTCAGTCAAAATTTAAAGGGAAATCACCATCACCATTAGTTTTAATATACTATGAGTCCATAAATAGTAAGAAATACAAGAACTGGCATAGAAAGAAATAAAACATTTTGAAGATGAGATGATCATCTAGGAAAATTGACAAAATCAACTGTCAAACTTTTAGAATTACTGTTCAGCAAATTTTCCAGTACATGATCAACTTACAAAATTAATAGCATTTCTCAAAATCAATAATGAAATAAAATATAATAAAACAAATGCCTCTCAATGAAAAATATATAAGTACCTAGGAATTGAATAAAGGACATAGGAGATGTTGTGGATAAAAGGCTTTTGAGGCCATCAAATAATAAATTTAAGAGGATTGTAATCATAAAGTGTATTCTCCAAATTCAATGGAATGAAAATAAAAATCAATAGCAGAAGAAAAGAGAAGAAATTCACAAAATTACCAAATACATGGATATTAAAAAGCACACTCCTAAATAACCAATAAGTAAAGACAAAATCACAAGGACAGTTAGGAAATACTCAGAGATGAATGAAAACAAAAACACAACATACAAAAACTTATGAGACAAAACTAAATCAGTACTTAGAAATTTATAATTGCAAAAGGCTAGGTTTTAAAAACTGGAATCTCAAATCAATAACCTTTTGTTTTTTAAATAGGAAGGAAGCTGGCATAATTATATTAATATCTACCAGGTTAAACTTTAAGGCAAAACACTGTTAGAAGTAAAAGTATATTAGACAAGGACAAGAGGAACAATTAACCTGAAAAATATAATTGTGAATTTATATATATTTAACAACATATTCCCAAGACATATGAAGAAAAGTTAACAAAATTCTTGGGGAAACTTAACCAACATATAATCATAATGGAACATTTTAATACAACACTCAACCATTGATAAGTCAAACAGATGAAAATTCCATATACATAGAGAAGGTTTTTAACTACACAGTTAAAAAGCTTGACTTAAGAGAAGTAGATTTCTTCATCCAACTGGCAGAGAATACACATTATTTTCAAGCACATAATGATCATGTACTAGACCACAGAGCATAGCTTAACAAACTCAAATGAATCAATACCATATAAGCAGCATTTTTTAAATCATAAGGCAATTTAATTAGAAGAAACTTCAACTTCTGTCTCCATTTAGAAATTAAAGAGTACATTTCTAAGTAATGAATAAATCATGGAAGAAATTATGTGAATAACCTGGTAGTACACGTTATAGAACGATAATAATAAGTGGATTTATATTTACTTGGGAAAACTAACAGAGACGGTAGCGTAGCAGGTTTGCACATCTCTGTTACCTATCACATTCTGGGTCATTGCAGAGGGATTTTGCAGGGCAAGACTGCAGACCTAAGAGAAACATTGGCGTTCGGGTTGTGACTTTTTTTGTGTCTTTTTTTTTTTTTTTACTTTCGATTTTTTTAAATGGTCTTTATTTTTTAGAGCAGTTTTAGGTTCACAGCAAAATTGAGCAGAAGGTACAGAGATCTCCCATATACTCCCTGCACCCACATATACATAGCCTCCTCCACTGTCAAGAGGGGTACATTTGTTACAGTTGATGAACCTATACTGACACATCATCACCAAAAGTCCATAGCTTACATTAGGGCTTACTCTTGGTGTTGTACATTATATGGATTCTGGCAAATGTGTAATGACATGTATCCATCATTATAGTATCATACAGGATAATTTCACTGCCCTAAAAATTCTCTGTGTTCTACCTATTTATCCCTCCCTCTTCTCTAAACCCTAGCAACCACTGAACCTTTTACAGTCTCCATAGATTTGCCCTCAAACCAATAAATTTATCCCTTTAGAAATAAGAAAAAGCAACTAAGCAAGAAACAAGAAAAAGCAAACTAAGCCCAAGGCAAGCAGAAGGAAGGAAATAAAGACTCGAGCAGAAATAAAAAAAATAGAGAATAGAAAAACAATACAGCAAATCAATGAAATCAGAAGCTAGTTCTTTCTCAATCTGATGTTTCATTTAGCATAATACCCTTTAGGCCCATCCATGCTGTCGCAAAAGACAAATACCATAAGATTTCATTTATATGTGGAATATAAAAAACAAAACAAAGGAGCAAACAAAAAACAAATAAGACCTATAAATACAGAGAACAAACTGATGATTGCCAGAGGGGAGGGAGGAGCGGCACGGGCAAAAATGGGTGAAGGAGAGTGGAGATACAAGCTTCCAGTTACAGAATGACTAAGTAATGGGAATAAAAGGCACAGCAGAGGGAATATGGTCAATACCACTGTAATAGCATAGGAGAGTGAGACCTGGTAGCTACACTGGAGCATACATAGCATAACATACACAGATGTTAAACACTATGTTGTACACCTGAAATTAATGTAACATTGTGTGTCAACTATACTAAAATAAAAAATGTATAAATAATTGAAAGGAAAAAAAGCTAGTTCTTTGAAAAGATCAACAAAATGATAAACCTTTAGCTAGACTGACCAAAAAAAATATGACTCAAATTACTAGAATCATTCAAATTACTAGAATCATAAATTAAAGATGAGATATAACTACCAACCTTACAGAAATAAAAAGCACTGTAAAGAAATATTATGAATAATTGTGTAATTTTTATAATTTGTATAACAAATTAAATAACTTAGATGAAATGGACAAATTCCTAGGAAGACACAAAATATCAAATTTGACTCAAGAAGAAATAGAAATATTGCAAACAGAGCTTTAACATGTAAAGAGATTAATAATCTAAAACTTCCCACAAAGAAAAGTCCAGGGCTAGATAGCCTCACTGCTAAATTCTACCATTTAAAGAATTAACAGCAATCTTTCACAAACTTTCCAAAGAAAGCCAGAAGAGAACATTTCCTAACTCATGCTATGAGACTACATTACTCTGATACCAAAGCTGAATGAAGACATCATAAAAAAAATTATAGAGTAATATCCTTTATGAATAAAGATGTAAAAATCTTTCACAAAATACTAGAATACCAAATCCAGGAACACATAAAAAGGATTATATGCCAGACCAAGTGGGGTTGATCTAGAAATGCAAAGTTGATTCAACATACAAAGATCATTAAAGTAATATGCTATATTAATAGAATAAATGGCAAAACCACAGGATCACTTAACAGGCACAGAAAAACATTTGACAAAATTCCTCACCCTTTCATGAAAAAGGCACTCAACAAACTAGGACAAACTTTCCAACTTCTTCAACTTGATAAAGGCCATCTACAGACAATCCAAGGGTAACAGCCCACTTAATGGCAAAAGACTGAATGCTTCTCCCCTAAGATCAAAAACAGGGAACAAATTCGGGATGGCTACTCTCCCCATTCTTGTTCAGTATGGTGCTGAAAGTTCTAGGTAGTGCAGTCAAGCAAGAAAAGGAAATAAAAGGCATCTGAATTAGAAAGGAAGAAGTAAAAATACCTCTATTCACAGATGGCATGATTCTGTATATAGAAAATCCTAAGGAATCCATAAGAAAACTATTAGAACTAATAAACAAGTTCAGCAAAGTGTCAGGATACAAGATCAGCATGTAAAATTTTTATAATTTTCAACTGCTAGTTGTTCACCCCAAACAAGTGTACCTACATAGACATACATGCATGGACGAATCCAGGGAAAAGGGGAATTCAGTGTCTGTTAACTGCACCAGAATTCAGTACCTGTTTTCAGTCCATATATTCAAATAACAGCATTGGTGAACACTTGGTATGTGCTGACATCATTCATGTGGTTTACATATATTAAAGCATTAATGTGTTAGCTTATTAACACATAGTCACACCAAGTATTATCATCCCCTTTCACAACTGAGAAAACTGAGGTAGAGAGTGGGTAAGTAACTCGGTCACATACATAGATTAGCAAAGCCAGGATTATATATTTTCTTTCCTCAAAAGATAGCTGAAAGAGTTTCTTTGAAGAGGAGGTAAAGAAGAGCACCAGACTCGGAGTTAAAAGAACCGAGGCAGGGTGCCTGGGTGGCACAGCTGGTTAAGCATCGGACTGTTAGTTTCCGCACAGGTCATGATGTCAGGGTCCTGAGACTGAGCCTGGTGTTGGCTCCGCGCTCAGCGGGGTGTCTGCTTGGGATTCTCTCTCTCCCTCTTTTCCTCTCTCTCTTTAAGAAGAAGGAGGAAAAAAAAAAAAAGACCCGAGTCTTTCCCCTGGCTCCTCCACTAGCCAGCTGTGTGACCTTGAATGGACAATTCACTTCTCTAAACCCTATGGCTCCTCATCTGTAAAAAAAGGCAGTTGGACTAAGTGAAAGCTGACCGCCTCTAATTCTCTCACACTGGGCTCACTCTGCGTCTGATTTCTGGTTTACAAACCCTCCCTTTCCCTGCCATGGGGGGAAGCAGAGGGCCAGGAGAGGACAGCCACTTACTTGTCATGACAAGAAATAGGAGAAACAGAAACAGGACCGCATGTCGCTTGCACAAGTTGCTGCTTCAGCCAGTGATGGGTTTAGGTGAAAAGCATGGTTATAATTAGAGCAGCCTCCTGGCCTGAAGGCTCCACCAGCCACAGCGAGCACAGCTGGATCTGCTGACTGCACGCACAAGAGTCTGAGAGGCCACTCTGGCCTTGAAAATGATCCTTCTTAAATGGCTTTTCTCCCTTCCTCAAGGGAAAGAAACCCTATTGATGTAAAAGCTCACTTCCCTTCCGGCTTCCCCGGCTAAATGCTACTCCAATGGAGACCCAAGTGTTGATAAATACGGGGGAAAGAAAAAAATCGTAAGCTGAGCCTGGTCACATTGCCCCTTGTGATATAGTTTTATTTTTAACTTCGAAACACTTGAACTATTTCTGTTGAAGTTTTCTCTGCTTCCCCTGCCTCCTCAACAGAACTCTGTCCTCTGCTGCAGCGGACTGAGGCACCCCCAGCTGCTTCCTGCAATCGGCTTGTTCAGTCAAGGAACACAGGTGCAGCAGATGCTGACTCAGCCCGTGCCATTAAGGTAAGTTTTTCAAACGTGAGCAGGTGAGCCAAGGAGACATTTGGAGTGGTGAACGTGGAGACAGAGGCTGAGCTGCACGTCACCTTTTTGCTCTGAGCAAGAAGATGGTTAAGCAAATTAGTTACCTGTGGTGGAGAAAGCGGTTGGCTCTGAGAATGAGACCCAGCCATATGTAAACTCTTGTTTTAAATCTAAAATCTTGGAGCAGGAAGAAATCCCCTGCTTTCGGGCAGCTTACATTCTTTCCTTTACAACCAACAAAAGGGGCTATGTGGGATCTCTGAAGTTACCCAGTGGTGGTGGGGACTTAGGGGAGGGTGGAGGAGGTGGTGAGGAAATAGATGGAAGGGCTAGAACCCAGGATTTCTACTTTTTAAAGTCCAAATGCTGTGATCTTTTCACCAATCAACATTGGCTGTGTTAACTGCAAGTCGTTCTTGCGTACATTGACCATTTTATGTACCTTAAATTCCATCCCCTGCGTCACGCCACTGGTTAACAGAGCACAGTTTTATTCACTGCGTGTGCTATTCAAACTCTGCCCGTAGAGCCTAAGACCTGTTTTTCTCTAACAATATTCCCTAAATGTGGTTCTCTCCTCCCCAAATCTCTTGAATCCAAAATGCACCCATGGAATAGAAGTGCAAATATTTTGCAAGTTGAAAAACTTATACAGGCTTTTGCATGCAAACCAAAAAATTGTTACAAACTTGAAGCTTGCACGTCCAGAGGGACAAAAGGAAAATGATTAACGATACTTGAGGTATGGAAAGCTTTAAAATGTAGGTTATTTCTAGTTTTTGAAATAACTGCGTAGTGTTGCATGCACAAATAAATTGTCAGGGATAAGGGGAAAGTGTTTATTTTTTTGTTTCTCTCTGGGCCTCACTTTAGTGTTCATAGGTCAGCTAAGGACATCCTAGGAAGTGGCCTATGCAGCAAAAGGGATTCTGTACACTCTGAACTTTGCGGTCTACAGGCTAAAGCCACCAATGCCAAGTAAAAGGAGAGCTGCTCTGATACCGTAACACCTGGATTCCTTCCTTCCTGCTCTGTAACCTCCAGACGTATTCCGTAACTGCGCTGTTGATGTCTAGGTTACATACACTAGGCACAGTGCATTGTGTATCATTGCCTCACGTCATTTTGTCAGGATTTCCGTGGCACAAGGTCTTCAAGGTATATGCTGGGATGCTGTCCTAGTGAGACTGGGGCATGTTGATTTAGGATAGCTAAGCAGACAGGCTGACTTACAGCTACCCCTAGATAATCTGGCTAATTAGCACTTTTGTGGCCAATACAATGCAGTAATTTAAAATACTGATACTAATATCAGAAGCACCAGATAGGAGAATTAACTAGGGTATAATGAAAATGCTGGAATCATAGCCCAGAAGCCCCAGATTATGGACCCAGATGTGGGAATTGTCGCCAGCCAACTAAACGGTTGTGTTAAAATCTCCAAGGAATTATTTTAGTATTTCACTTTATACATCTTCTTTCCTTAGAATTAAATATCTCCATAACAGGGGAACAATTTAACAATATATAATTAAAGTAACTAATTAATTGGCTGGGTAACAGATTAAGAGTTAAAGAATATCTCTGATCTTTAACTTTTGACCTTGTCACTTCCACTGAAGTTAAAGCTCAGGAATAAATAATTATCACCAGGGCCAGCCACATGAGGAGGCAAAATAGTTAGTTGCTGACATCATGTGAGGGGTGCTGAAAGGGCCCCTTGCCTAAAAATATCTCCCTGACATCAACCCTGTTTGCCTACTAATTTTAAAATTATAGTAACGAATGTTAAAGCCATTATCTGTTAATCCCATTCTCTTTTGCTTGTGTCAGGGATTTAAATATACCTGCTATAGGCCTTCTCGTGACCTTGTTGGCCGGTGACACTCAGTCAGGCTCCACCTCTTCTTCATTCTTCCAGACTCTGTCCTGTTTTGCCCTCGGTACCATCTAGGCTGCCCACGTGCTCTTGGCCACCACCGCTTCACAGGTAGCTCTGTGTGGCATGTGGTTTCCAAGGAATTCTCACTATTACATCAAGGTGAGAAGCAAGGGCAAGACGCTTTACTTCTCTGGGCCTTAGTTTCTCTTGCAGGAAATGAAGAGGTTAAACTAGACACTTTCCTTTCCAAGGGAGGTCCTCGGACCATCAGCATTGTCTGGAGCATGTTATATATGGGAAGACTCTCAGGCCCCACCCCAGTCCTACCAGATCAGAATCTGCGTTTTAAGAAGATTGCCCGGGTGATTCCTATACACATTGAAGATTCAGGAGCTGCAGAGCAGAGGATTTATGGTTCTGTGCCTGATCCAGATTTCTGATTTATGACTGTAAGGATTTAGAACAAGTACTACAACCTCCGGAAAACAATTCTGGCAGCTGAGTGTCTATTATAACTCAAGCCCGAAGAAGTCTTTTCCATTCAGTTAAGGCTACATTCACCTAATAACATTGAAAACATTTCTCGTTCTTCCTTAAAAAAAAAAAAAAAGCCCCAGGGAGGCACCCAGGTGGCTCGGTTGGTTAAGCTTCTGACTCTTGATTTCTACTCAGGTCATGATATCAGGGCCGTGGGATTGAGCCCCACATCAGGGTCAGGCTTGTGCTGAGTGAGCGTGGAGCCTGCTTGGTATTCTCTCTCTCCCTCTGCCCACCCAACCATATTCACATGCATGTGCACTCTCTCTCACTAAAAAGAAAAAAAAAGCCCCAAATTAGCATACATTTGACATCATTACACTTTCCTCCTAAGTTTGTTTCAAACTGCTCTCACAGCTCTTTCAAAATGCTGCTTTCTTTAGGGTTCTATTCAATTTCATTCATTTCAATCCTATTGAATAAACAGTGCTTGGAGCCTGTTAGCTATACTCAGTCTCTCAGAAACTATTTTGTACATTCCTTGGGGAACATTTTTGTTCTCCCTTGATATTCCAGTCAGAGCTCTTTTCCCGCCTGAACACACTTTCCTGGCCAGATAATTTCTGCTTCATTGATGGCCTTCATCCCTGAGCACACCATCCCAACAACCTCCCTTAAGGGGAACTGACTCTGCAGCCCATTGCGAGAGAAGCCAATTTCAACGGACACCTTCTTTTTTTCCTTAATGAACAGAATAATGTATATAGGTAAATAATAAAAACGACAAACCTGCACCAAGGAAATAAAGATGCCTCAATCTCTTAATGATAGAGAACAAACCGAGGGTTGATGGAGGGAGGTGGGTGGGGGATGGGCTAAATGGGTGATGGGGATTAAAGAGGGCACTTGTTGTGATGGGCACTGGATGTTACATGTAAATGATGAATCATTGAATTCTACTCCAGAAACCAATATTGCACTGTATGTTAACTAAAATTTTTTTTTAAAAAGTTGTTGAAATCACTCTTTCTGCTGGTGAATATGGTACAGAGCACCAGATGGGAGGGGTGAGGCTGATTATAGTCTTTTGCACCAGACTGGATAAGCAATGATGGTGCTGGGACCCAGGCAGTCCCAGAAGTGCCCAATGCCCTTTTGGGTCTTTCCCCAAGGCCTTCCTACCTAACTGGCCTTCCTACCTAACTTGTAGGAAGGAAGACCCTTCCTGTGTAGGGCCTTATGCTAGTTCCTTTGTGATTGGGAGCACAAAATCAACCAGCTTCTAGCTCAGTGGTTCTCAGGGGTGTAGGCATCTTGAGTTTACAACAGCATGAGTTGGATGTAGTTGTTCTGATTCAGTAGGTCTGATTTGGTAGGGTCCAATAATTTATATTTCTACCCAGTTTCTAGATAATGCTGACACTGTGGGTCAGGGTATATCACACTTTAAGGGCCATTATTCTAGCTGACTCACCTTTCTTTCACTTACCTTACTCCTTTCTGAGTGGTCCACACAGCACCACAACCTGTATCAAATGTTTCTCTCTCGCTAGGTTCTAAAGTATCCCCTATTTCTGTAAAGAAATATCCATCCCTTAAACTCATGTACCTGGTCCTTCCATCTACTCATATTCCACTCAAACTGCATCCAGTACAACCAGTAAAATCTAGTTCTGTGTAGATTTTTAAAACTATTTAAGTTTAAATTTTATTATTTTGACTGCTATCTCCTCTATCCAGGGGAACTTTAAAACATATTTTGGGGAGAGTGTTTCAGAGAGTGTTTTGACCATAGACTTTATTGAAGTTCATTTTTAAGAGGAGGGAACGTATTGCCTTTTCAGACAGGAAGTAAAAATTTAAAGGTGAACATAGGGGCATAGAAACTAAAGGAGGAAATGGCACCTGGATAAAAATATGTTGTTTCAGGCATAGAATTTTGTCAACTTTTTCCACAGTGAAGAGTTTCTATAATGTATGTGCTTTAATTTAGTAGGTTTTTCAGTTTAAATCTCAGAATCTGTATTATATTAGAGATTTTAACCCTAAAAACTTACTTTCATATGTGTGCTACCTCCAATGCGAAGCCATGGGACCTGGGTACTTTTCGTATTTCCTCTATTCAGATGGGGCACGTATGGGATGTGGCCCAGAGAACAACAACAACAACAAAAGAATCATGGGGATGAAGGTGCTTTCTATGAACTTCCTATGTATGAAGATCATCCAGATCATCTACAATCCGGAAAGATTATAGGTGTATATACCTTTCTGTGCCCAACTGGAGGAAGAGAGGCTCTGCCTGATGGGCTCTAGTCATGGGCTTGCTTTCTTCCCAAATCATGGGGATAGACCACATGTCTTTGTGGGTCTCTGAGGGACGCAGTATGATAATAGCAAAGAGTACAGAGTTTGAAACCAGATAAACTTAGGCGTCTTTGTGTTCCACTGTAGGGGTGTAGGCATCTTTGTGTTCCAACGGAAAGGGTAAAACCCACGTCTCATGGCCATTGTGAGGATTAAGTGAGATGTCATGTAAAGAACATGGTAGGCACTAAAATCTTACTACTCTTTCTCCCTGACATCCAAAGTGTAGAAAAATCACTCCATCTAGGAAAGTCAGACAAACACTGTGGAGGATAGGGACCCAGACACTGCACTAGAATGGAGATTAGGAGAACAAGGCATCTTATGTCACAAGATAACCGATGATATATATAATTTGATCATCTTGGGGCAAGACCAACTGGCTACAACCTAAGATGATCAATCAAGTATCTAAGTTTGTGTGGGAATAAGAGGTTTCCTGGGATCTGGAACTTTCAGAACTAAAACCAAGAGTCTCAGGCAAACCAGGGCAATGGTCACATTGCTTACCCAGCAATAACTAGACAATCAAGAATTTTAGATCGTCCTTTATCTCAGTGGGAACAGTTTCCCCTACATATACAACAAAAGCTTCAGATATGGGTTTTTTATGCCCTTAGGTTATGTTTATCTTTATCCTCCCCTCCACTGTCAAATTTCTCCAAAGAGTGGCCTCCACTTACTGTGTCTTTCTGCTCAGCACAGGTCCTCTCTCAAAGTCACTTATTTGGTGTATTTCCAGAGCCTGGCAGAAGATCTTTAAATAGCATAATTAAAAACAAAACAAAACAAACAAAAGAAACAGCATCTTTGCTGCCTGTGTGCATTGTTTTTCTTTTCTCTTAAAGGGATATTTTCAAATAACATCAAAGACATGGAGAGCAACAGGGCTCCACCACAAATGTTTCCAGCTTCAATAGCACTGTTCACAAGAACCATTCTTTATAATGCTGAAGGTTAAGAAATCATTAGGCTTAGAGTTCATCACCACTGTCCCTCCAGCCAGACATATCCCTGCAGCTGGGGCAGAGTTTTCACTACACACATATAAAGCACACAGAACTAGCTAGACCTGCTTTTCCCTTCCCAGAAACTAGGCTCAACTTTGTGACAGAGCCAGGCTGGCAAATAAGAAGTTGAACATTCCTGCTGCTGGTAGCTTCTTTCTTGTAGCTGTATTCCATTTGGGATCTGCCTCTTCTTTCCCACCTAAAAACCAGTAGGGGACTCTGAATCATCCAGACTCCATCTTTATTCGTGAGTGTCTTTTATGCATAGAAAGCAGATGAGCACACTCTCCCAGCCAGGGCACAGGCCCTGTTCATATTGGAATGTGTGTTTAATGGCTTCCCTCTCCCCTCTAAGCAAATACCACATTTTGAATGGCAAGGGTCCCATTGCACAACTGAAATGCCACATTTGCTCTGGCAAGAGCTCTTTGGGGACCTGCCATGAGAAGTGGCATTGTTAGCATTGTTCTTCATCTTGAGGCAGCATTCCAGGCTATTGCTCACACTTTCCCTTACATCAGGCCACATGGTTCTGACTCTTCCCTCTCTGGTCTCTCCTCCAGCTTTACTTCTCCCTACTGTCTTGAAAGTGGTCATACTCAGCTATGTACTTCATGGCTCAGATGCCTATCCTGTGTTCTTCTTTCCCCAGTTATGGCTTCCTCTTTCACTTTTAAGTGAATAATTCTCAAATCTGCATCTTTCCATTCTGTCCTCATCTTACCATCCACATGGTCTGTCATCACCTTAAGCAACTTGTATTAAACTTGTGGGGCTCATCTTTCCCCCCAAAAAACAATTCCCTCTTCAGACTTCTGTTTTTCTCAGAATTACATGCAATATTCTCTATTCCTAGTTCAAAATCTTGGCATCAGATTTGACTCTTTTTTCCCCATCTCCAGCCAGAAACAAAAATGCTGTGATTTCCTTGTGATGCCTGCCCTCTGTCTCATCTTGCCTAATTCCACTACCATCAGTCCTACCCCTGCAGCTTCATCGCACTGTCCACGAAGTAGTTTCTTGCTCTAAGTCCTTCCATGCCATCCCTCCACTGCTGGTTAACACCCCAGTCACAGTGTTAAATGGTCCCTTATTGAGCACCAAATAATTCCAGATGCGTTAGCCTCTCATTTACGAATTTTCACAGTAAGTCTTCAGTGGACTCCCCTCCCCTCCCCCCACACCCGGGAGTGATCAATCTAGAATATAGCAGGAGCCTAACTGAATGCTTAGTTGTATGTTAGAAGGTCCAGTAGCTGGACTCTTGCATCCAGAAGATGTCCTCTTGCCCGATCCTATTCTGCTCCATCTCAGTCCTGCCCTCACAGCCCTTTGCTCTGCTCAATTCCCTCTCTGGCTTTAACACCTGCATTTATCTTCTCCTGGGCCCTGAATCTGTTTGATGTTCTCACTTGCAACTTCTCACCTGCCTCCTGATTCAGGCTTTTAGGGATATAGAACTCTCTGCCACAATCCTCTTTCACACTCGGTAGTCCCAGTGCATAAGAATCAGATGGGTAAGGTGTTAAGGATGTGAATTCCAGACACACCCCTCACTTAAGTCAGAGGCACAGCCAGCATGGCAGTGCTGTCCAATAGAACTTTCTATGCAGATGGAAATGCTCCATGCTGTGTTGTCCAATAGAGTAGCTACTAATCATATGTGGCACCTGAAACTTGAAATGTAGCTAGTATGACTGAAGCACTGAATTATTAATTTTATTCCATTTTGATTAAATTTAAGTAGCCACATGTGGCTGGTGGCTGCCATTTTTATAGTGCAGATTTATAGCTTTAACAAGCATCACAGCTGATTCTACTGAGTAAAGGTGTTTAAGAACTACTTAAACAAGCAGGCCAGGTGAGGCTTATGCTCCCTTACTGGCACACTGCAGGTAATCAACAAATGTTTGCTGAAGGAGTGGATGAACAAACGAATATATGAACAAATCAGAATATAATTTCCTTGAGACTTAGGCTGTCTCTTCTGAAAAAAAAAAAAGTTGAGGGGACTTTTCCAAATTGAAAGAGTTTAAAAAAACTTAACCACCCAAACGTAATAAATTGACCTTAAAGGGATCCTGGCTCAAAAGTTTAAAAATTTAAAAAAAAGTATAGAAGATATTTTTTGGCATTTTTGGGACAATTGAATAAATTTGAACACAAACAGCAGATTACGTAATATTAGAAAATATTTTTTAGTTTTCTTAGGTGAGATAATGTTATCGCAGTTACAAAGGAAAATGTCCTTAGTCTCAGGAAATACATGCTGAAGTACTTAGGGATGAGGTGTCATGATAACAGCAACTTATTTTCAAGTGGTTTGGCAAAAATTGTGTGTGTGTGTGTGTGTGTGTGTGTGTGTGTGTGTGTGTGTGGAGAGAGGGAGAGAGAGAAAGCAAAAGTGGCAAAATGTTAACTTTTGGATCTAGGTAGAGTACATGGATGTTCATTGTATACGTTCTTTCACCTTTCTTATGTATTTGAAATTTTTTAAAAAGTTGAAGGAAAATTCACCCAGAATGAACTAACAAATCCTAAAGTAAAATAAAATAAAATTACAAAATACTTGCATTTTCTGACTTTTGGGTGCTAATTCCACCCCACCTACCCACCCCACCCCACTCCATCCCAGACTAACACAGTGCCGACATTATGCTACAAATTCTCTAGACCAGGTGCAGCAAACTGGCAAGCTACAGATCCTATGTAACTTGCATACATGTTTTTCCTTGGTCCAAGTAGAGGGGTTTTTTAGAAAAATTAAATTAGTTACCAACTTCAAAATTCCAAGGATTTTTACCTTGATACATTATGTAACAAAAATTTTGCAACATAATTACATATAAAACACTTATTTTACAATAGCAAACATGCATACATCAAGTCTATGAGACAAGTACCATTCTAAGAGTTTCAGGTACTTAAATCATTTACTCCCCACAACAGCACTATGAGATAGGTACTATTATTATTCTCCCTTTACAGATGAGGAAAATGATGAACAAGGACATTAAGTAACTTTTTCAAAGTTTCACAACTACTGACTCCTAGTGCTGGGTTAAATTTTGTATAGTCTGCCTCCTAATCACTACACCATCCCACCACTCACAAAAATCTGTATCCCCAGTTTCTCTGGAAAAATCAGATGATCTGACAACAAATTCCCACATGGGACCAATTGACCAGACAAGGAGCTAGATTCTCCTGAAGGCAGGGCATCTCTTCTGCTTGCTAGAGTCCCCACTCAGCCAGACTCTGGGCCCTTGAGGTCTGACCCCTGCTGTAGCCGTGGTGCAGCTGAATTCACCATGGTGAAGGACAGTTGGTAGATATATCACAGACACTTGTACACTGCCCCAGACCAACCTGGATATCAGGTTGTGGGCATGAAGCTCTAGTGGGAGAGAAAGCTAGAAGGTTAACTTGGGCAGGAAGAGCATGTGGCAGTGATGGGATGTATGGATGGGTGGAATGTCAGGATAATGGTTGGTAGACAATGAAGAAAAGTTACAGGAAGCAGAACATATACATCCCATGGCTGGTAAGATGCCCATCAGAGGATATTGTGGGTCAGTGAGAAGAGTGTGGGCCAACATTGCCCATGATTCCATGGCTTAGCAACTCTATCACCTTGGACAAGTTATTTAACTTCTCCAGCTTCCATTTCCTGGACTATAAAATGGGCAATGACATTTATCTCCAGGGTGGTGAAAGGATTTAAATAAGAGTATGCAAAGTCTCTTTGACTCCTGTTCATACACATAACCAAAACACTTTTCTTACTAATCATTTATATTTTCATGTTTTCTCCTAGATTTACAAAGCAAGAAGAAATTAGGAAGCTATGGTAAGTACCAGGCGCTTATTGGATCTTCGTCTTTCAGGGGTCCAGATCTGGCTGGCTTCATTTAACCGTAGCCCAACAGCTGGCAGATTTGCCCTAATGGTTTGATGATATTTATTGACTTTAGGCCAAACCAGCAATGTTAGAGCAGAATCTAGAAGAAATTGACATGGAGTAGGGGAAAAGCAGAGAGCTGAGAAAGATTTGTGAGCAGAGATTTTTAGTTAAACTTTAAAAATGAAAAACCCAAACATCCAGCAATATACTAAATGGCTGATAATTCCTTCCTTCAGCAAATTGAGTACCTGTGATGGTCCAGGTGCTGGGACACAGATGTGAACAAAACTAGACATGGCCCCTGTCTTCCCAGCACTGGGGAGATAGCTGGTTAAATGAATGACAGCACACTCACTCTGGAATGTTCACTACCATTAAGAAGACAGTTTGCAAAGAATCATTAATAAAACAGTATGGTCTCATTTTATAATAGAGAGTTACAAAGCAGAAGGCAGAACTGTATTCATAGTATTAATGGGGTCATATAAATCCCCCATAATCCACAACTCAAAACAATTATCAACAGTGTAGTCCATTACAGTCAGCTTTTTTCTTTTTCTATTCCAAACACATCTACTATATACATAGAATAAACTACTGGAAAATGAAGAAAAAAGTGTTGGTAGTTGTTATTCGTGGGTTGTGGGATTATGAGTGATTTTGCTTCCTTCTCTATGATTTTCTAGATTGTCCAAGGTTCCCATAATAAGCATGTATAAACAGGAAATAAGTCAATTAAAACACAGTCACAGACATGCATAGAACTCCTCTTCCCCGTTTGTTTTCTCTTTCTCCTTGCCATTGATGTCTCTAGGGCAGGGCACGCAGGCCTCTACCTGGGCAGCACAGACATTGTGAGAAATGCTTTAACCTGCACTGCCACATTCCTGTGGAGCCTGATGTCTCCTGTCTGGTGATAAACTGCCACCTATCCTGTGGTGCCACCTTCCACATGTGCAAAGAGGCAGAGCATGAGCTCCTCTGCCCTCTAGAGGAGGTTCCGTGCCTCAACTCCGAATATGGCTGCCCCCTTTCCATGTCCCGCCACAAGCTGGCCAAGCACTTGCAAGTGTGCCCTGCCAGTGTGGTCTGCTGCTCCATGGAGTGGAATCGCTGGCCAAATGTGGACTCTGAAACAACCCTTCACGAGAACATCATGAAAGAGACCCCCAGTGAGGAGTGTTTGGATACAGCTCTGGCCCTCCAGGACCAGAAGGTCCTTTTCAGATCTTTGAAAATGGTAGAACTTTTCCCAGAAACTAGAGAGCCCACCGAGGAGGAACCTACTGTGAATGGTGAAGCCAGCTGGGAGGAAATGGGAGGAGCAGTGGGTGGGGCAGAAGCCAGTTTGGTACCACATGGATCTCTATCAGCAACTAATGGAGAGATGGCAGAACTGAGTCAAGAAGAACGAGAGGTGTTAGCCAAAACCAAAAAAGGGATGGACCTAGCCAAGTTTGACAAGTGGGAAAACATATTCAGCAAAGAGCATGCAGCCTCTGCTTTAACAAGCTCATCAGTAGGCTGTGAGAGCAAGAGTGGAAACAGCCCAGGGAAAGAACAGATTTCTAGCGACAATAACATGGTAGGAGAGGATGCTCTCAAAGAGAAAGAACTGCAGGAAAACCAGAAGCAGCAGGACTTTCATGCAGCCCTGGAAACGACAGGGCTCGCCCCTTGGCAGGATGGTGTTCTGGAAAGACTGAAAACAGCTGTGGATGCAAAAGACTATAATATGTATCTGGTGCACAACGGGAGGATGCTTATTCACTTTGGTCAGATGCCCGCTTGCACACCTAAGGAGAGAGACTTTGTTTATGGCAACCTTGAGGCTCAGGAAGTGAAGACAGTTTATACCTTCAAAGTTCCTGTGAGCTACTGTGGGAAGCGGGCTCGTGTTGGAGATGCCATGTTGAGTTGTAAACCAAGTGAACACAAGGCAGTAGACACTTCGGATTTAGGGATTACGGTGGAGGACCTACCCAAATCAGATCTCATCAAGACCACACTCTTGTGTGCTTTAGAAAGAGAACTTAAAGGTCATGTCATCTCTGAGTCCAGAAGCATTGATGGGCTGTTCATGGATTTTGCTACACAGACATACAATTTTGAGCCAGAACAATTTTCCTCTGGTACAGTGCTGGCTGACCTCCTAACCACTGCCTACCCAGGGGGGCTCCATGTGGAACTCCACAGTGAGTGTGTGACTAGGAGACACAACAAGAGCAGCTCTGCCTTCACTTTCACTTGCAACAAATTCTTCAGGAGGGATGAATTCCCCCTACATTTCAAGAATGTCCACACAGACATTCAGTCATGTCTCAATGGCTGGTTCCAGCATCGATGCCCTCTCGCCTACTTGGGATGTACATTTATTCAAAACCATTTCCGTCCCCCAGGGCAAAAGGCAAAGGTGATCTATAGTCAGGAGCTCAAGACCTTCGCCATCAAGCCAGAGGTTGCTTCAGAGCTGAGTGAGACAAAGAAGAACCATCTCTCAGGCCATGGAGGGAAAAGCCAGAATGGTCTAACCAGCCTGCCACTGGAGGTTTTGCAGTACATTGCTGGGTTCTTGGACAGCATCAGCCTGTCCCAGCTTTCCCAGGTGTCTGTGCTGATGAGAAATATCTGTGCTACTTTGTTACAAGAGAGAGGGATGGTCCTCCTGCAGTGGAAGAAGAAGAGGTATTCTCATGGAGGCACCTCCTGGAGAGTCCACAGAGAGGCAAGTAAACCCTAATTCATTCATTCATTCATTCAACAACTATTTAGTAGGAGCTTTCTATGTGCCAAGCACTGTACTAGGCACTGGCATTGTACTAGGTTCCTGGGAAGACGACGTAATCGCTGAACTCAAGGAGGTCCTTCTAGTAGGCAAGACAGACCTATTGACATATAAATGACAATACAGATGGTGGTACCTGTGTATCTCAGTGTATGTGTCTTGGATATCTTCTGTTTGCTCATGACTCATTCTTCAACCCAGTCCACTGTGATCAGTCCCCCAGGAGGCTGATCTCTACAGCCTGCCTCAATCAGCCACCTTACCCTCCAGCTTCCAGCGGGGCTAATCTAATGGGAGTGTGTCAGTGGGAAATTGGAGGGAGGAAGAGTGAGCTGGCAAATCTATTCTTCTGACTTCCTCCCTGCATTCATTCTCCCCTCCTTGACACTTAGCACTGACCATGTCCCTCCACTGAAGGTGACTGTATCAGGTGACTCTCTCCACACAATTACTCATTCTTGGTTCCAATGACCTCCTTTCTTCTTCCCTTTCAGGCCCAGGGTATTAACACTCTAGATTGTTACTAGCCCGGGTACTGCATTATATCCTGTGGCTTCCCTACACCCTGCCCACACATTTGTATATCGTTATTTTTTTTTAATTCTCTTCAAATTACCCAGTTAAAGTGTGCCATCTGTTTCCTGCCTGCAGTCTGATACAGTATGCCAACAAATTCTCCTCGGTCCCATATCAACTAATATAAAAAACAACAAAACAGTTTTTGCCTTTGTTAAAGACATTTTGAAATTCTAAAATAATTCAGTCCACTGATCTCTCCTGGTTCAAATATCTATTTGCTTTCTCAAAAAATTATGCTGTATAAATCAAAGAATCTTTCCCTTTGGAAAAATTTTATTCTTTTTTCCTAATCTTGCTGAACTGCATCATAACTTCTATTAGCTTATACCATACAAAAGTGAAACTCCTAATTCATCATTTATGAGATGCCCTTAGCATCCTTTCCCATGGTAAATATGTGGTAATATGAACCACAAATTGATAGTACCCATTTCAGCCAATATTCCATAACCTCACTGTTGAATTTCTTCCCAAAATTTGGGTGTGTGCAAACTGGCACTGGAGAGTTACAGTTGTTTACACATATTTTCACTGATTGTGTCTAAAACATCTTAAATGTTTTCCATTATTTATTCCCTGAGCAGTCTTCTTCAAAAAACAATTATGAGACTCTCCTTCATGTATCCAGGCCTGCATCCATGTGCTAAACACTGACTGCCCCCCATCCACACGTTAGGGATAAACATGAATAAGACTGAGATCCTGCCCTCAGGAACTGTATGGTCTAGAACGTCTAATATCTTCCTCCATAAAATCAGATGCAAATAATCTACATATTAGAAATTCCATTATTTTTTGGCTCATGTTTGTTCCCAATTCAGTGATTGCTGACCACTCCAGAATATCATTTGAGACAAACTAATTTCCCTTTAGAAAGGAAAAAAGAGAATTTAGTTGGAGCTAAAGGATGCTTATATTAAAATGGCTTTTTTAAAGTAAAAACAGAAATAGTCCTAAGATCCCCGGAAACATTTTTCTTATATTGGAACAATGATAAGAAACTGAAGGTAAAGTGTCAAGTTGAAAGTACGGTATTAGGTTATGCCTACCCTCATAGCCAGATTTTAAAACTAGTGACTTTGCCACCACATCCTAGGTGGAAAAGCCAAAAGGGGTTTTTGTGCCAGACACTTAGATTTCTCCTGAGGTTTCTATTCTAGTGTGACTCTTCTTAGTTAGGATACTTTTAGTTTTAAGCAACAGAAAACCAACTTAACATGGCATAAATAATAAAGGGAACTTTCTCCCAAAGGCAATGGCTCAGGCAAAGTTTGATCTAGCAGCTCAAAAATGCCCCCAAATGACCTTTTTACTTTCTATTTCTTACCTCTACTTCCTCTCTAGTGGCTCCATTCTGAGACAACAGCTCTCCCTTGGTGGTCCCTGGGGGCTGCCAGCAGCACCCAAGACTGAAGTTTCACAGTTCAAGTGCAGAGGGAAAAAGAGAATTTGCTTCTTGATACCTCAAGCAAAAGTCCTAGGGTAGAGTCTCATTGGCACGAATTGTCCTGATGTGAACCATGTGTCTTTCTAGAATGGATCCCTGTGGCTGGTGGGAGGGGGTGGGTGTGTGGTAAGCATTCCCACCCAATTACATGGCTGGCTGGGAAGATTATCAATTGGAAGGGTGAGCTAGGAATTGGATGCTGACGAAGGAGCTAACACATGTCTGCAGCAGCCGCTAAACACTCTCTGGAAGCTAAGAACGTGAAGAACAGAAAGGTATTATACTCTTCAAATAAAGCCAGCGGAGGGTATTGCCCCAGTGTTCACTTTTGAACTTCCGTGTTTCCTAACAGATCTGGCAGTTCAGCAGCCTCTTCTCCAAAATCAAGAGCTGGGAGTTTAATGAAGTTGCCTCTATGTCTGAACACCTGAAGGCCTGTCCTTTCAATGTTGTAGAGCATAAGACTGACCCAGTTCTTTTGACCAGCATGTGTCAGCTCCAGGAGCCGGCCCGAGAGAGCTTAGTCACCACCTTTAGAGTCCGACCACGAGGAAGACACACCTGCTAAAGATTCAGATGCCACCATTCTTGGATTCACCCTCTGGGTTACTGAAAGTAGGACAGAGTGTGATTTTGAGGACTTTCTTCTGTAAACTGCATACGTGCTTATCTAGGTGTATTGGAACGTGCACTGCCCTAAACCTGAGTAGTTGCACAAGGTCTAAGAATTTCCCAAGCCATGGCTTGTACACTTGCTATAAGGGCCATACTGATAACTTATTTCCTTCCCCCACCCTTTTTTTTTTTCCTAAAACAAATCAGTCTGAGGAGAAAATAGATAACTTGAGGCCACTTGAAAGATGAGCCCAAGTCTTAGGAAACAAGAGAGCAGTGAAATTCCATAACGAGCACAGGCCTGTGCTTTTGTGGGGAACATTTTAGTTGATAAGCATTTACAAATATAGGGGGCAGGTAATGCAGGAGTGGGTACTGAGGTGCGTCACAGGGCACCCAGGGTGAAGGGCACATGGTTTGATGGTTCTGGAGCTGGGGTTATCTTGATGGTTAAGTCCAGGTCTTCTTTTAGTCACTCCACTGCCTGTAAGCCCAGGAAGTCCGAGCACAGCACAGCCCTATAAAATGGAAACCTTGGCTGAGCACAGCAGCCTCAAGGGCACCGCAGGCCAAAGAATGAGAGGCAGAAATGAGGTCGCAGAGTTTGTTGTGGAGAATCTTGGCAATATATAGAAGGACAGCCTTGCGCAATGAGGAAGAATCCAAAGGAGACATTGTATTAATGGAGAAAACTAGCACCAAAAGCCACAAGCCTACTTTTAAACATGTCAAAAATGACCTAAGAGTCAAGGTTCTTTTCTTCTTAAAATTATATTCTAGGTGTGGATTAGGGAAGCATAGGCACCAGCCTGAGCTAGCTGAGATGACCACAAGACACTAACACCAACTTCAGCGTCATGCAAGAATGCATGCCCGGAGAGATCACACGTTCAGCGAAGTCCAGACAAGGCCCACTGCAGTTCCTGTGGCACCAGCCACCAGGTCCCAGACACCACTCGAGTACCTGGTGGGGGACCATGAGAAGGAACACTCCTGCACATAGTAGTTCCTTGTAATTGCTCCTACCTATTGTTGTTCATGACTCCAGTCTGTCAGAAATGGGTGATATGTTGGTCTTGGGTGACAAACAGTGAATACTCATGAAAACAAGAGTAAAATACATAATAGAAACTGCCATCCCCTTAAGCAGGATTTCGCAGAACTACTGACATTTTGAACTGAATAATTCTTTGTTGTAAGGGACTGTCCTGTGTGTTATAGGATATTTAGCAGCATCTTTGGCCTCTATCCAATAGATACCAGTAGCACTCCCACTGCTGTAACAACCAAAAGTGTCTCCAGACATTGCCAAATATCCTCTGGGAATGAAACCACTCTGGGTTGAGAACCACCCTAAACAATGTCATACCAGTGGCAGTAACTTAGGATAAGCTTTTTAGTACAACAAAATCTTACATAATGATCTACAATGGTTATGATTTTATGTAGCTCTTCTTTATTTACTAGGTAAGTTTTAGACAGATGTGATTTTAAGTTGGGAGCCAGATGGAGCTGATTGTTTGGTGTGGCTTCATGTCCTTAAGTCATGTGCAAAAAAATACATCCTTTCAGCTCTCTCCAGATATAGCAGAAGCAGGGCATATTGAGCTATTTATCTTGTGTTTCTTTCCCTCTCACCTGAATCAGTGCCATTTTCCCAGCAGTCCTCAAGCAAGTGAGAAAGAAGGGAAAAGGGACCAGGTATTATGGGGAAGCAGAGAACAAAGAATTCAACAACGAAAAGAAAGAGTCTAGTCAATATGGATGCTTTTTGTTGCCTGGGTCTCTCTCTGAACATGGTCCAGAGCTGGTATAGATGAAGTAGAAGACACTTGTGAGAAGAGTCAAGGAGGTATTAGAGCAAGTCCCAGAGTAGAAATATGCTCATCTTTTCATTATCATGCACCACTTGGTACTAGTTGGTAAAGTAACTCTGTTTCTTAAACCTTTTTTCTTGGTTTATATTTCACATTTGTATATAAGGCACCATTTTCTAAAAATACAACTAGAGTGTGAGCTATGATTTTATTCAGTGAAGATGAGTAACTGGAAACAACTGAACACTGAAGCGGGAAAAAAGGAAAAGTTCTCCTTTTGAATCTAGTTCCCTCCTATCTGGAGAAAGAAAGCTCCTGATATCCACTCAGGGTCTCTTCTCTTACTAGAAAAAGAGAGAAAGGGAGCTATTGACCAAGGGAGATGAAAATCAGGGGCTGCTCTTAGGCAGATGAGAAATAGAGAGAAAGGAAGAGAGCAGAGGGTTTTCTTTCACAACCTGGGCAGCTCAGGGTTCAGGAGAGCAGCCAGGAGACTGCCCGTATGGCTCTGTGGGCTGCACACTTGCAGTCCATCTTTATTTTCCTAGTTGCTGCCTTTGGAGCAATATTGATCAACATCATCAAACACATTTTGTAAGATATCTAATTGAATATGTTGCAGGAAACCAGGGTACTACAGGTATCCACCGGTCTACACAAACAAGCACATTTTATGGTGAGAGGGCAGTTGGAGCAAAAAGGAAGCCTTTTAGAGAGACTGTGGATCAGACAGAAAATTGACTGGATTCATGAGATGAGGCCATGGTGAGTAGCATGAGCAGCAGAATTACCTGACAGAAGCAAGACAGCTAGACATGGCCTCAGATTAAGAAGCAGCTGAGCAGAGTGAAAAGGAATAGGAATAGGAGCTTGGACAGGGAGGTGTCTATGAACAGACTCTTTAATAAGTATCACCACCAAGAAGTCAATCCAGAGTAGAGATCAGCCAGACGTGGAAGGTGAAGTCTGTAGCACTGAAGCAGAAAGGAAGTTTTTGTCTTATAATGAAGGGAAAAGTGAAAAACAATGTGGGACTTAGAGATGTAACAGGAAAACCACTGTCAAAGTCTGATCTATGTGTGATATCAAGTCAAACTGAAGTGAAGAATGAGATTACGTATATGTCTGGTGACTTGCCTCCGGATGCTGGAAATTCCAATGTCTCTAGAAGCAGAAATAAAAGCTGTTTTGCACTCTGGAAGGCTACCTGGGTGAGTCTTGTAAGTTAGGTCTAAAGACAGATTTGTGACTCACTGGCACAGAGGTCATTGTGGAAACAAAGGAGTGTGTGTCTTAAAGAAAAACCAAGGAATCAGCCTGAGGGATGCAGTGCTCACATGAGGAGCTCATCAACTTTATGAAGTCCTAGAGCAATTATGGATATCAGTCACTAATCCTAGCTGCGCCTTGATCCCACTGTTTTCTTCATCTTTGCCCCAAATCCCTGACTTTTATTTTGATTTTGCCTAGGATCTCCTATCAGACCTTGCTGAACCCAGTGGTCTGGGCCTCTCATTCTTTCTCATCCCCATAATTTGCTTGATGATTTGCTTTTTGCCCACCACTAGTTATCCAAATGTATTCACCTCTTTTCCTATCAGCCTTGGCCCTGGACCATAGAAAGAATGCTCATAAGTTTCTTCTATCTGCTCTACTTGGCCATCAATTTCAGTCATCCAGCTACAAGGAAGCCTGAACTTTCTCTAGTAGAGGCCATTGTCTCTGACCCTAAATCCTCTTAATACCTCATCGGAGCCTGTGGTCCTTTAGCTTTAGTCTTTTTTTATTGGCCAAATCTCCCTTTTCCTCCTTTCAATCCCCTAATTTGTGTTTCTTCCTCAAGAATCATGTCCTAAAAGAATGTACTCATTATTCCCAGAAAGAAGGTGGCTGGTCTCTCACAACTGCTGAAGCCAAAAAAGTTGAACTTCCTGGTCCCCTGGCCCCCCACCTTACTGCCATTTTCCAGGTCAATGTGTTTTGGATTGGGTTTAGGTACAGTCTAAGGAAAAGGCCCAACCCTTGATATCCAGGGTGCAGGGCAATGGGCAGTGGTAGGAGGGAGTCTTCTAGATATGCCTGAAAGACAGAAGGAGAATTGGAGCTGTGAGAGAAGGGCCATTAAGGGCTGCATAAAAAGTACTATTTACCTCAGCATAGAAATGAATCATAGTCCCACTTTATTTCTGATTTAACTGAACAGAGAGAAGATTAAAAAATTATCTCCACAAAAAAGGAAAGTGGGCAAATAGCACAGCCAAGCAAACCAGGCAATCTAGACATACCTTCCCATATAAACAAACCAGGAAGCTCAGAGCTCACAAACGGAGCAAGGCAGAACTTGGGGTATTTGAAGGAGCATTCATGGCGAAGGAGGAAGGACCACAACATAAACGTGCATAAGCTCATCTAGGGTAGAGAGGACACTGAGTGGAAGGAGACCCCTTCTTCATGTTGTCTCTGCCCCAACCCCTAGTGGAGAGGTAGAAGAAAGTCTGTCTAGAATATCAGGCAACTCATGACACTTGCAGCAGGAATGGGGCATGGGTGGAGGCAGAACAACTTTGGACGTGGGAAGTCACAGTGCAGAAGACAGGGAGGGCCATTTACTGGAGGAGCTTGACATAATTTGCAGGAAAGAGTCCAAAGTGGCCGTGGCAACGTCCCCGCCACCAGCCCTCATCCACCATCTCAATGTCAGTGATGATGTCATCAGGATCGAAGGAAATCTCGTCGCTTCCCTCTGGGGAGGCAATTGATGGAATATTAGGATGGTCAAACAGTAATCCTTCCATTCCTGTGCCCACTGTAAACCTCAGGGAGGGAAAGGGGCTGTTCTTCTTGATGCCAAGGCTGGTCCTTCCCTGACCCCCAGAATCCATCTCCCTCTCTCCTAGTAAGGGCCTCCAGGCACCAGACCCCTCAGGCCACTCCAAACCTACCTCCTTGGTAATCATACAGGGCTATAGCTGAGATCCCTGCTCCAGTCCCAGCTGGGTAGCCAGATGATTCTGCATAATGAGAGATATAAACATGGTCTCACCAACATGGAGAAGGAAAACAGGTCCTTCTAGGAAATGGGGCAATTCTTCCTCTTGCCCTCCCCTGGACTAGACCCATTCAGGAGCTGTTTCTCCCCGACCACTCACCAGCCAGAGTGGAGGGACAAGAAGGATTCTCAGTTTCAAGCACATCTTCATAGTCCCCATCTGGTTCACCATCCTGCTCATGTCTGTCCATGTCTCCAACATCCTCATAGTCATTCTCAGGCTCAGGCTCAGGCTCTGCTTCATATACTGGCTCTTCCTCCAGCTGCAGGCCTTCTGGAGTCCTGGGAGGCAAAGCTGGGGGCTCCTCGTCCTGTGAAGAGACGGTGTGGATCAGAGTGATTTTTACCCACCAGGAGCTACCCCTCTACAACCTCCCAGTGGAGGACTACTAAGACCGCCCCCCATCACCATCCTACCACTTCTACCCTCTATCCTTGCCTCCATCTAATAGCCTTCCCTAGGGAACCCAGTCTTTTATCCATCTTTATTCCTCGAGCTCCTCCCATACCCACCTACTCAAAACACCTATCAAGAGGTGATAGGAGGGAAATGTAAAGGGTGTGAGGAGAGGGAAATGGAAAGCAAGTCTGATTCCTTGAATGACCGGGAAAACACTGAAGCAAAAACACATTGTTGGGAATACCACAGGCAGGATGACCAACTGTCCTGGTCTGCCCAGGACTAGGTGGTCCCCAGAATGCAAGACTTTCAGTGCTAAGACCAGGACAGTACCAGACAAACCAGGATGGTTGGTCACTTCATATGGCCCACCTTCCTAGGACATGAGGAGATGGGAAAGAGGCAGAGAATCTTTGGGGCTCTACTTACCTCTGGGGGATTCTGCCTCAAGGGCAGGGCAGGCACTGGCTGTTCCTTACTGGTTCTCACAGGCTCAGGCTCTGATGATGGACAGTTCCCTGCTGGAGGCCAGGCCTGGGGAGAATAAAGCATCTCTCTTGTAAGTATGCAAACCTCCCTCTTCTCTACTGTCTGGAATACCCACCCAATCCAAATCAACCACCCCTCAAGATGGGCTCCAACCTGAAGTGAAAGCTCCTTCCTCTAGTTCCTGCAGCAATTACTGGCTACACAGCAAAACATGCAAATTTGGTTTATGTAAATCTGGGATTCCCACCCCCCCCCAACATTTTGGTATATATGAGGCCCAATCACTCAGACTGAAATCTTCCTGAAGACAGAGATAGTAGTTTTAGACTTTGCCTTACACCAGGGAGGCCTGTGCCTTATTTTCTATCAATGATTTGGACTCCTTAGTCTCCTATCTGGGCAAGGGATCCTGGATGTGAACCCCAAAAGGCCAACCACTCACCTCTGAAGAGATTTTCTTGGGCAATGGGGCTGGCACCTCCGGTTCTCCCACAGTGTCCACTGGCTGCTGAGCCTCATGGCTCATCTTTATCAGGGCCTTTCTCTCCTGTTGCTGCCTGGCTATCTGCTGTGCCTTTTCTTCTTCCTCCCGCTTCCTCTTTTCCTCAGCCATAGACTCAAATTTTGCCTTCAACCCACGGGCACCACTAGAAGCTGCAGACACAGGCAAGAAGAATTAGGATTGTCTTGAGTCAGGGGTCGGAGTGGTGGATGGCACTCCAAGGAAGAAAAGGAATTGGTTAAATATCCAGGCAGAGAGCGGATGGAGAGGAACTCATGGGAGGAAAGGAAAAGAGGTACTAATGGAGGAACAAGGGGATTATAGGAGGAGGATGTAGACATAAAGCCCAGATTTCCGTATAGCCAGGCCATGCAGTCTCAGACTCTTGTCCTTTCTAAGTTATAAGCCTTGTTCCCCTAACTAGCATCCTTTTCCTCTCCACATTCCTTAAATCTGTATGCCCTCTAACCACCACCTACCCTCTCTCCCCCATCCCAAGCTCTTATCTTTCTGTATTCTTCCCAGATGACTCCCTATCCCTCCCTCCCTGTGTTCTTTCCTTACGGTTCCTTCCCAATGTCACTCTATCTCTCTATCCACTTAACCTAGTTTTTTAGGAGAATGAATCTAGAAATACCTGGGCATGGTCAAGTCTATCTCAGCTAGTCTAGGTAGTTAAAGGCATGGAGGAGGTAGTCTAGGCATAAGAAGGAACAAGAAGGGGGAGGTGGTTGAGGAACATAGAGAAAAGGAATTGTTAAGACTTACCAGCTTCTATGGGTGTCGTCTTTTTATAAGCTGTGGTTGGGGCCTCCATTTCATTGAAGCCAACAGCGCTCTGCAGGGAGGAGAAGAGTATGCACAGTGTGGGGAGGAGAAGGGAACGGTAATGACCCAAAGTCAGTATTGGGGTTTGGAGCCTTCTAGGAGGTATCCCTCACCATCTGATGCTCAATAGTTAAACAGGATATTCCAATATTGTTATTTTGTGGCAGAGAGAGCAGTAAAGAAGTTCTAAACTGGTGGGCTCAGATCCCCTTTTTGAAAGCTCAGTGTGCCTAGAATCTCACATCTCTAAGTGCAGTTGCCTAGAATGCAGCAAGGCCCCAGCCAATGCATGAAGAAGAACTAATGTGAATGGAGTGGGAGGAGATTATAGATTGAATTAAGCAACACCTAGGAATCAATGAAATTTCAAACATCACCTTTCCCTGAAGTTTATGTGTTTTTGTCTCTCTGACTCCCTCCACTCTTCTTAGTTAAAGCTTAGGCTGCAGAAGACTTGCCCATTAGATACCGAAGGTAGTCAATGGGGAGTGTAGAAAGACACCTCAGGACACTTAGCTTTTCCTATCTCAATGTACTTAAGGTGCAGTTTAGGGACCTCTTCTCAAGACATTGGTGTGCTGGTGCTTTACCTTATCCACTCGGTCCTTCTGGATTCCATACTGACCACCAAAGCCCTTGGCATAATCTGCAGGACAAAAAGTTTTGAGAAGGTGCCTGAGTGGCTCAGTCATTAGGCCTCTGCCTTCGGCTCAGGTCATGATGCCAGGGTCCTGGGATCAAGCCCCGCATCGGGCTCCCTGCTCAGAGGGAAGCTTGCTTCTCCCTCTCACACTCCCCCTGCTTGTGTTCCCTCTCTTGCTGTCTCTCTCTCTCTCTGTCAAATAAATAAATAAATAAATCTTAAAAAAAAAAGTTTTGAGAGTCATAAGAAGAGCATATGCTAGGAATGTGTAGGTAGAGGAATCACGGGAAGAAAGACCAGAAGACAGGAACATGAAAAACAGAGATGGATGAGGAAGAATGAGAATCAGAGGATAGAGAGAAGCATGGATGGGAAGAGGCAGAAAAGGATTGAGAGAGAATGGATGGGAGAGAGATGTGAAGAGAGAAATATAAAAAGAGAAAAGTGACAGAAAAGGAAGGAATATAAAGGAAGAAATTGGAAAAAATAAGGAGAGCCCTCCAGCCATCCCCTGTGTCCCAGGGCAGAGAGAGACCTCTCTGTCCTTGTGAGGCTCATAGCCAAATCACCCACGTGTCATCACCCAGCCTGTCTTTACCCTTTTCTCAGTGACCCCTTCTCTTTGGCCTCCTCTGTCCTGCTCCTAATCTTGCTGTATTCCTCTCTACCTTCCTGGTTTCTCCCCCCGACACACACACATATAGACACTTACCCTTTATACCACCACCTCCACTGTACATCTGCACCTCTGTATTCTAGGTTCTCTGTGTCAGCTTCCAGAAAGGAAGGAAGGAGGGCTCTATGCTACTGTGTGACCTCCCTCCTCTCCAACCCCAACTCACCTCTCTGGGACTCGTGTTTCTCTGTTTCTCCTTTGTAGTCATATCCCAGAGCTGCCTTATCCCGTTTATCCTTCTCTATCCCATAGCGGCCTCCAAAGCCATGAGAGTAATCTGTGGTGGAAGGAGTAGTCATGAGAGCCCACTCTCAGCCCACAGGAAGGTGCTGTGGAAGAGAGAAGTCAGGAGGAGTGGGTGCAGAGGGGTAGGGACCTGGGAAGGCAGCAGGGCTAGAATCGAGGTGGATTAAAGAGAAACAGTGTCCTAAGCCATCTTGTGTAAGCTTTAATTCAACATTGTTCACTCCTTTCCTCTCCTCCTTTACTCCCATCCCAAGATGAGAAGATCATTTCATTTTTTTCCCTTCTTCAAGGAAGGGGAAAGTATAGAGAATGTAAGGAGAGACTTTTGGGGGGGGAAAGGCAGATACATATGAAATTTATGCCTGTTCCTACTCCCATATAAACACTTAGAAATGTCTGCTAAAATATAACGATCTTTTTTTTTTTTTTTAATAGTAAAGCTCAAGAAAAAAGAAAAAAAATCCTGGCTCCAGAAACCATAGATAAATCAAAGCAGTACAGATGAGGGTAATTATGAGCTGACTCAGAAAACCCAAGGGTGTGTTAAGTCCCAAATTTAGTACCTAGGGATTAGGATCTAGGGTCAGGTGTTCTTATACAAGAACAGAGGACTGGGGAACAAGAAATGGCAGTCTGCTCACTCCTATAAAAGAGTTCTAGAAAAATTCTACTCATTTATGTAGGGAAATGGTGAGGGGGGTTGTAGTTTGTTCAGCATTTAATAGGGGGAAGTTTTACCTATGGGACTTGGAAACTCCAGGCCTACCCTGAGTATACAGAATGCAAATATCCAGCTTTATACCACTTATATTACACAGGAATTCTAAGCTGAGAAATTAATGCTGATATAGAAAAATATATACCACAGAAAGAATAAGCATCAGAAAGATGGCAGGAATATGAGAAACAGTAGACCTCAATACAAAATGCATTATAAGAGATGAAAGAGATATAACACAATAATAAGAAAACAAATCATCATTAATGAGGAATATGTATGCCAGTATAATCTACTAACAGAATCGAAATTCATGAAGCAAAACCTGACAGAAACAGGAAGAGAAATAGAAAAACCTGTGATCCCAGATGAAAATTTTAACCCTCCTCTTACATTGATAGAATGCTTAGACAAAAAGAATCTAAAATTATAGAAGGTCCAAACAACATTATCAACTAACAAAACCTAATTGACATTTACAGAATATTAGATCCCAAAACTGCAGAATACACTTTTTTCATGCACATAGAACATTCACCAAGATAGACCATATGGTTGGGGTACCTGGATGGCTCAGCTGGTTAAGCATCTGACTCTTGATTTCGGCTCAGGTCACGATCTCAGTATTGTGAGATCGAGCCCTGCACTGGGCTCTGCACTGGGCATAGAGCCTGCTTAAGACTCTCTCTCCCTCTCCCTGTGCCCCTTATCCCTGTACTCTCTAAAATAAATAAATAAATCTTTAAAAAATAAAAATAATTGACTTTCTCTGCTTGACTTATTTCACTTAGCATAATCTCCTCCAGTCCCATCCATGTTGATGTAAAAGT